TACTTTCCTTGCTGAGAATGGTTCATTTTCTCCCGGGGAACTCTAGTGGCACACCGTTTTGTCCAGCATTGAAGAAGAGAAGGAAATGGCATTTTTTTAAGCTCAGTAAGTATAGTATTTATTTGTACTTTCACTTAAGAGATGAGCCACTTAAGGCTTAAATGAAATGTCAATATGTCCAAACACAAGGTGTCCAGAGGCAACTGCTGTGATTTTGACCAGTGGTTTAGTGTCCAATTTGCTACCTTATTTACTTATCTCACTTCTGGATAAATAGGGTAAGCTAAACTCACAATACTATGGGAGGTTTTTCTCTTTGGTGATTAATAAAAAAAAGCAGATAGAAATAGCTTGTCAGGGCACGTGGGGGCTCAGTTGGTTAAGGGTCCAATTTCTTTCTTTCTTTCTTTCTTTCTTTCTTTCTTTCTTTCTTTCTTTCTTTTTTTTTTGAGTTTATTTATTTATTTTGACAGACACAGAGATAGCCAAGTTGGGGAGGGGCAGAGAGAGACGGAGACAGAGAGAATCCCAAGCAGGCTTTGCTCTGTCAGCGCTCAGAGCCCGATGGGGGGGCCTTGAACCCACAAAACTCTGAGATCATGATCTGAGCCAAAACCAAGAGTTGGAGGCTTAATCGACTGAGCCACCCAGGCACCCCTAAGCATCCAATTCTTGATGGCGGCTCAGGTCATGATCTCGCCGTTCATGAGATCGAGCCCCGTGTTGGGGTCTGCACTGACCCTGTAGAGCCTGCTTGGGATTCTGTCTCTCCCTCTCTCTCTGTCCCTCCCCCACTCCTGTTTTTCCCCCCTCTCTCTTTCTCTCAAAATAAATAAATAAACTTCAAGAAAAAGAAATATATTATCAATCTTAACAAAACATTAAACGGATGAAATATTGGTTTTAACCTGATGAAATCCTGGGATTTTTTCCCCCAATGAATTGAAAGCCTGAATGATATTCTCTGGAAGGGTATATTTAAAAATAGACACACTGCGGGTAAGTGGATTAAGAGGCACAAGACTGAATCTGAAGTGACATAGCAGATAATTTCAGTTTGTTCCTTGCAATCGTCTTCAAGGTTGGAATAAGGTGTCCATTTTCCTGGTGAGGAAACTGAGGCACAGAAAGGTTACAGGGCTGGAAATCATGCAGGTCTTCTTGAACCCACCTTCTTCCCACGCCTCCCCGGTGATGTTTGTTAGTGCCTGAATTCAAATATTGGTACGGGCCTGGGGATGCCGTCATGACTGACCAAAGATGCAGACCAGGCAATCAGGCACCGTGAAGAATAACTAGAAAGTGAGATGGCCATTGGGAGGAGAAGGAAGGCCAAGCAACAATGGAAACAACCAGCCAATGTGGTCTAGGAACGGACCCTAGGATAGTGCCTGTCTGTGGACTATGCAGCAGGATTCCCAGAGACGCATCCACCATGACCTGTATTCCATCAGCAGGTAGATGCTCACATGAACAAGCCTTTTTTAAACATTCTAAAGAGGAAGCAAAAGCGTTTTTATTCGAGTCCATTAGGGCAGGTGTCTGGGAGACACAATCTTCACAAAGAGGAGAGTGCTCACGGGATATCTGTATTTTTTACATAAAGAGTTACAAATCATCATGACGAAAGGCATTGCAGAAAGCTACAGGCTTTAACTTACGTTTTTGTGTGTGTGCAAAGTTGTGTGACTTTAATCTTACGGGAGCCAGGGAGGTCTTTTTTGTTTTCCTCATCTTTAGGTTTGGAACGCTCCTTTTGGGAGCGTTGTTCTTTTGTTCTTCCCAGATGTACAGTGTGTGCTCAGGGCAGAGACAGAGCCCGTGCTGGGAGGTCTTACCGAGTCATTTTGACCTTGGTTAAAAGTTAAGGTATAGCTTTTCTGGCAGCCCAGGAGCAGGGCCCACAAACATTCAAAGTTGAAAATTTCCTTTACCGTGTGAAACTGCTGACACTCTCGTGCGCACCAAACGCGCAAAACGTGTGCACGAGAGTGTCAGCAGTTCCACGTGGTCAAGTTTCACGCGGTAAAGTTTATTGAAACTTGGCAGGTCTCATTTTCACGCACTCTTTGTGATGGGTTGAATGGTGGATCCCCAAACAGATGTGTCCACCTCCCAGAATCTGTGAATGTGACCTTGAACAGAGGGTCTTTACAGACGTGATCAGATTAAGGACCTTGAGATGAGGTCACCCCGAATTACCCCTGTGGATCTTAAATCTTGCAAGTACCATTAAAAGAGCAGAAAAGACCCAAACACAGAAGAGAGGCCATGTGAGGACAGAGGCAGAGATCTGGGTTCTGCAGCCACAAGCCAGGAGCCACCAGGAACCACCTGGAGCCACCTGAAATCACCTGGAAGATGTAGGGAAGGATTCTCCTCCAGAGCTTCTCAGAGGAAGCACGATTCTGCCAACACTTTGATTTCAGATTTCTGGCCTCCTTAACTGTGAGAGAATAAATATGTTGGTTCTAGTCACCAAGCTGGTGATAGTTTGTTACAGCAGCTCTAGAGAATCAGTACACTTTTATTATCTCCATTTTATTGATGAAGAAACTGAGGTTTACAAGGCTCAAGTAGAGTGCTCCATTCACACAGCTACCAAGAGATCAAGCCAGAGCTAGAATTTGGCCACAGAGACTGTGCTCAGAACCTCATGCTGGTACCACGAGCCTGTTTCCAGAAACGAGGCCACATTCTTTGGGTTGGCCGGGTAACCTCTGTCAACAGGACTCAAGCCACCTTTCTAGACCCTGTTTTCATCGTGTCCCACCTCCTCTACCCAGCACACCCTGTGTTACATTGAATACCTTGTAATGTATACATTTTTAACAAAAACAACTATCATGGTTTTGAGCGTCTACCATATACCAGGTTCTGCCCTAGATTCTCACATTCGTATTGAATTACCACCCCCCACCCTGAACTTATGATTTCCATTTTACAAATGAAAGGATTGAGGTTCCTAAGGTCAGTTAGTAAATACTGGAGGTACTGAGCCCAGCTCAAAAGTCACTTCCTCTAGGAAGCTTTCTGGATTTTTCTTACCATAGCAGAAAGGTCCCGCCTCCTCTATGCTTCTTATTACTTGGACCCACTTGTAACTCTATCAACCTTACATTGCTTCAACAGGTACCCATTGAACATGTACTTTCCACCAGGTACTAAATGGGAGCTCATGGCCAGGTGGGAAAAATGGACATGGAGGACAACGTAACAGTAGACCACAATGAATGTTAGGAAGTTAGACTCAGGATGCAGTCTGAGCACCAAGGAGGACCATCCCCCCAAATCCACCCTTAGCTGAGAGAGTCATGAGGATACTTAACATTCAAGCCCCAGGATCTTTGCACAGGACCCTTTTGTTTTCCTGCAAAAGCCATCTCTCTTTCTTTTTTATTCCAACCAGTTGGCACAAGCTGAGGATGAGTGGATTTGGGAGAAGAAAGAGGAACATCTGGGGATAGACCCTCCCGGAAATAGTCTATGCACAATCTTAAGGCTGGTTAGACTCAAGAAGCAGTTTAACAACAAGCTCTTCAGGATTAGAAATGTACAAAAGCATCAAGGTAACTGCTGGCTGGTTTCTTGCCTCCCCTTGGGGGTCAGAATTATTCCCATCAGTCCTGTGCATAAGTCCTGAGCCTTGAGTATTGAGTACCTCTTACCAGCACTCTCTCAGCTAAGCAGGTAGGAGAGGAGGGAACCAGTACAGAAAGGAGATGAGGGCAATCTTCCCCAAACCATGAGGTTTTTCATCACGACTTGAAAAAGCATCTATCTCCTGTCATAGAAAGTCAGTTGCTTGAAGGCAGATGTTGGGCTTTATTCACATTTGAGCGCTCAGAGTGGACCTGCGGTCTGGAGCACGGCAGGTGTGGGCCAGCAGTGGAGGGAAGGGATTGGAACTTCCTGCCCCTCACTGCCCCACCTCCTTCTCTGCCTTGTATTCCACACACACAGCTCATACTTCGGGCAGCCCGCGTGTCCGGCACATTGCCGAGTGACACCTTATGGTTCGAGCCTCTTCCCCATCTTACACTCATTCAGTTACCTTAGTTGGCTGGTTCCCTGAACACATCCCCCAGCTCAGCTCTCTCCTCTCTTCCAGGACACACATACCCAGGCACTCTCGCCTCTCCCACAGGCTTGCTGTGCAATCACCGAGTCCCAGATTCTTGGGCCCAGGAAGCGAGCGGCACCCTTTCACATTAGCCTAGGCCACCTGCTGGGGCCCAGCTTCCCAGAGAGCCCATCGGCGGTGTCTGGGCCGCAGTCCCAGCTACGTCCTAATGAAAGGGTACTTTGGTTCTCCATCCACGTCTGACCCCACGCACGTCACTCCTTGGAAGTAGGGTTTGGTCCATGATGCAAGCCGGTAACGTCACACCCCTGCTTCCCACCACTGCCACCAGCCTCTGCACATGATTATTGGATAAAACAGAAGCTGCGCACCCTCCATCCACATGGAGCTCTACGAGCTCCAGCGCCCCCCTCTGAAGGTTGGAGGCCATGCCTCTCACAGGAGAGGGGTCAGAGGGACAGTCACAGGCCCCAGGCCTGGCAGTGGGGCTCCACACGGAAGGCTAAGCTAGTGGGAATGGCTGCAGAGCTTGGCCGTCTTCCCAATCTCTCATTTCGCAGCACTACAGTGATTTTAATTAAATACTCCCCCTCCTGACTCAGCAGTGGCTCACAAAGCCAAGTGCAGAGCCAGGAGCCTGATAAACAGAGTGTTGCTGGAGGTGGTCAATCTCAAAGGCTGTGGCTGGAGCCCGCCATCCCTGTGTGGGGCCAGGCCCCAGGGCTCTAGTGCTCTTCCCCTTCTCCAGGACCCCGTGGGCTCTTTGCTGGAGGCAGGCAAGCTGTGCGTTCTCAAAACCTCTTGGCAGAGACTTTTCCTGGACCCCACTGGTCTTGGTTGTGAATCCTTTACCAGACTCCTACCTGGAAGGCTGCTTAATTCACTCCATAAATCTCTCCTCCTGGACTTTGCACAGCTGTGGCTAGAAGCCGATTCCTGAGCGCTCTCAGCAGCCCCTGGAAGAAGACACAAGAGAACGACTGTGAAGGAGAGGAGACTGGAATTCACATACCACCGGGCAGAGCAGTGAAAAGGCACAGGCCTTGTACCCAGACTCACCGGGGTTCTGACACCAGCTCTTCTGCTCTCACCGGGCTCCCTGGGCTAATTACTCTACTTACCAGCCTCAGCCTTCTTACATACCAATCAGAAAGAATACTCTCTATGTTATTAGATGATTGGAAGGATTAACTGAGACCAAAAAATGGCACTCGTCAAGCCTTCAGCAACTGGCGACTGTTACACCTAACGTGCGCACGCGGGTGCTAGGTAGCCCACGGCCTATGGGAGAGCTGCCAAGATGCTGCAAATATATTTGTGAGCACGTACGATATTTCTGCTCCTTCTATTCAGGAGAGGATTCAAGGTCTCAGAGAGGCGGCCTTACCTCTTCCATTTCAACACCCTGTGTGACTCTCATGGAGTTTACAGTCCTGGTGGGAAATTCAGTTATTATCCAGTGAGCTGTCACCCCATACAAGGAGTACAAGGAGGTTACCTCTTCACCATTGATGTTGAGTTGAGCTTGGCCCTGTATTGTTTTGGCCAAATGGCATGTAGGCAGTGTCTGAGTTCTGAATCCAGGCCTGAAGAGTCATTGCACGCTTCTGCTCATCATTCTGGGACTTTCCTGATCCTGCCATGAGTCACTGTCCCCCGGCCCGGGCTCCTGACTACAACCCATGAAGGAAACCTGTAGTCTGAAACAGGGACACCATAACCAATCTGCAAACCTATGAGCAAAAATAGATGCCCAGTGCCATATGTCAAAAGATTCTGAGACTATTTGTTACTTAGCAATAGCTGATGGATCCAGTCTCCCAGGGAAATGGACAGAGAGCTGGAAAGCAGTTTCCTCTGTTCTTGGATCTCTTGATCTATCCAGGAATTCTATCATTTCTCTGAGCCCAGTATTCAACCAGGTCAGAAAATAAGCATCATCTTTTCAGGATCAACTCTCAGACTCCCTCCCAACCCCTGTGCCCACAGGTAGACTACACAAAGGAGAAACCATTGGTTTTACAGCGATTCTCCCCCAACTTCCCCATCCCACACTTGAACCCTGACATTTTATGTTCTCTGGCTCCACTAGGACGACTTTCCATTGGGGTAGAGGTGGCCATCTGTAACAGCTGCAGAGAGAAAAGGTTGGCACTTCAATCTATCATGTAGCTACAGAAAAGTCCAAAGAGATGAGGAGGACATATGAAAGTCCTAGGTAAATCTCATTATTTCCTTCATTTATTTATTCATGAATGCAACAAATATTTATTGAGAACCTACTCTTAAGGTTTCCAAATACAATACAGGAAGCCAGGTTAATTTGAATTTCAGGTGAATAACACATTTTTTAGTATAAAGAGGTCCTAAATATCACACAGGATGTATTCATACTAAAAATAATTTATCATTTGCCTGCAATTCAAATTTAACAGGATGTCCTGTATTTTTATTTGTCAAATATAACAACCACACAACTATGACTAGGCATTGTGTTGGATGCTAAAGACGGTGGCTGGGAATGATAGAAAGAATGATAGAAAGGTGGCTGCCCTTCCAAAAGCTTATAAGATTTGGGATAATACAGGCATACGTGTAAGAATTATATACATACATGTATGGAAAATATGCACATGGACACATATATCAATTAGGTATCCTATACACCCTTTAATGTGGGAAGCCCAGGGGCACCTGAGTGGATCAGTTGGTTAAGTGTCTGACTCTTGATTTTGGCTCAGGTCATGATCTCACGGTTCATGTGATACAGCGCCATCTCAGGCTCTACGCTGAGAGTGCGAGCCTGCTTGGGATTCTCTCTCCCGCTCTCTCTGCTCCTCCCCTGCCTGTGTAATCTCTCTCTCTCTCTCTCTCTCTCTCTCTGGAGAAAAAAATGAGAAGCCCAGGTGCTCTGAACTATGCAGGTGTAACACATATCAGCACAGGGTCTGCCTTTCCCTCAACCCACACCTGTGCCTTCATAGATGGCTCCCTATGCCACTTGACTGAGGAAGAAAAATTAAGCCTGTGTTTTGGATGGCTCTGTGTGGCATCCTAACAATGGCCCACACTAACTGATACGATGTTAGGCTTACTCAAGAATGGTCCTGAAAAAACATAGAAGGAAAACTGGCTCAGCAAACACAATTTAACAGCCCGTCTTCTTCGCCATTTTATCTGCAAGAGGAGCAAGCTTGACTTGAGTATTTATACTTGCTCATGGGCAGTGGTTAATGGTTTGATCAGTTGGTCAGGGACTTGGAAGAAGCAATACTAGAGCATCAGTGACAAAGACTCTCAGGAAAGAGGTCTGTGGAAATTTTGGAATGGCCCCAGAATGCAAAAATATCTGAATCTCATATGAAAGCCACCACATAGTGACTTCTCACTAATCAGGAGGGAAAACTGACTCAGTCTGGGAATACCCATCTACCAGCCTCCTTCCCCAGGGCCACACATGGGCCTGACAACATGGGTCCCTCTTTGCGTAAGCTTATTTGGCTGTCCCATTGCTGAGTGGCCAACTTTCAACAGCAACAACTAACTCCAAGCCTTTAGTATAGTATCTTGGAGGACCATCTTGGCACCTGGTGGCTGGTTGGTTCCATCAACCCCCTTCCACCATGGAGAGACATAAATTCCTTCTCAGTGGAAGAGATACATTCTGAATTTTAATTTCTTTTCTCTGCTAGTCACACTTCTGCTAATTACCTGTACATGTCATTGTATATTATAGTGTGTGTGTGTGTGTGTGTGTGTGTGTGTGTGTAACCACACTAAGATCCAACTAAGAAATAATACCTTCCTTGGAGGGGATGAAGCCTTGCAGAATAAAGAATATGCTCAGAACAAGTTTCTAATATAGCCTTTCAGGAATATTACAAAGGTCCATTACAAGGTCTAGAATTGAGGGGGAACATGACACAATTAAACCTAATGATTCACTAGCAAAAATCTTGCTTTGCCATCTTGGAGTCCCATGGAGCTCCTCATGCCATTCAACCCATCAGCAAAAATGGGCACTAGAGTGTTGGCTGAGAACCTTAACCCCACCAAGAGGAAAGAGTATTGATTTAAGCAGCCGAATGGGAAGAGTTATAAATAGAACACAGGTGTTCCCCTGGGTGTCTCTTAGTTCAGCCACTCCCACGATGCTAATGAGTAAGACTACGAAGGGCTCATATCCTCTGGGAAGGAAGGTTGGCGTCATCTCACTAGGCAAACATTTCCAGTCACCATGGTGGGGTCTGAAGGTCTAGGGAACAAGGAAAGCATAGGATATTGGAGAGAGTTGCATGTATCAACTGTGGCCCTGAAACCAGTTGCAATACAAGGGTCATGGACTTCTTTGATATTATTTTATATATATATATATATATATATATATATATATATATAAAATATATTATTAATATAAATTAGTAGTATAGATTAATATAAATTAATATATTATAGGTTAATAGAATTGATATAAATTTATAATTAATATAAATATATTCATATTATATATTAACAACTATATATTTATATTAATATATTGATATAAATTTAAGTTAATATTATAATATATATAACATATCCACACACAAAGTATATACATATAAACATACACATACAAACGTAAATTTTAACTGCTATTTCTTTCATTCCATCCATTTGTTTCCCCCTCACACTATTGTTTATAGGTTGTAATGGTTTACAGTTTCAAAATATTGAGACTGGATCAAGGGAGAATCAGGGGGAGCAGACATTGTCCAGAAACCCTGGACTCAGAGCCGGACGCTTTAGCCTCTAGGAGGGATGTGCGCGATGTCTCCTTGGTTGGGCAGTGGGGGAGTGAATGAGTTTTCAACATATAAAAATGAGTGGCAAGTAGCAAGGGGAGAGCTTTGTTTTGAAAGGTAATCATGAGAAGAGTACAAGAAAATGCAGGGTCGCCAAGCAGACAGCAGACGTACAGTGTGGGACGTTGTTGATTTTGGTTTCTCAGTAGCCCATGCTCTTCCCATTTAGGATAATCACAGACGTGGGACTTACTCTGCTTGCCTTATTCTGCTCATTCAGCTACAACAAAATACCATGGACTGAGTGGCTTAAACAACAGATATTTATTTCCTCCCAGTCCTGGAGGCTGGAAGTCGAGGTCAAGCTGCTGGCACGGTCATGTTCTGGTGGGAACCTTCTTTCTGGCGTTCAGACTGCTGCCTTCTTGCTGTATGTGTGTGCTCATGTGGTTTTTCCTTGGTGCCCAAGCATGGGCAGACAGAGAGATCTTTCTCTCTTCCTTTTCTAATATGGGCACTAATCATTGCGGGATACACGCATCCAGTCCATAACACAGCCCTGTCCTTACAGGGGAGGCTGCACAGTCGGAAGACATTTTTCTCTTCCCAGGTCCCTAGAGTTAGGAAGGAGTGCACACATGAGCTATGCTTGGATAATCAAGAACTCTCACCCAGACCCTTACTCTCGAAGGAGGGCAGCCAAGAAGAGGGGACAATGGGTGATTACTTGAGTGAGTGTAGAGCTAAGTCCAGTGGTGTGCTTACGGGGGGGGGGGGGGCCCAGCAAGGCCAGTTACAGGGCAATGGTCTATGATTTGGGTCCCAGGACCAGGGGCCAGCCTGTGCTCCTGGCTGTCCAGAACTGCTTGAGCCCTGACAGTTTTCTGACTTGGTGTTCTGGTTTTCCCTGTCACTCTGTACACTGTTTTAGTGGATGAGTGGCAGGTCCATCTGTTTTAGTGGATGAGATTGATTTCTGTTGTTTACAACCAATATCCCTGCCTGGAACAAGTGGTTTGTCCAATAGGAAGGTCTGGGGCGAGTAGAGGAAGTGCAGAGAAGATACATGTCACTGGAGAAGAGGTGGTCGAGGAAAAGGCCAGAGCTTTGGACATGCCATGTGTGGAAGACTGATGTCATGAATAATAATGGTAGGATTTGCAGAAGAGGAATATGGTAAACCAGATGTCAAACTTTAGAAAATGAGGGAAAGTGGCCAACCAGCCACTCTGAAAAAGATGAGGAGGTTGGCATACAATGATTTAGCCAAACCGATCAAGTCTCGGAAGAGCAACGATTTTTACACAAGGTGGAGAACTTAGAGGGGGGAGCAGACACTGGGGGGTAAGGAAAATTCAGACCCAAATCCCGACCCTGAGGTCTGCACGAGGGACAGAGGCAAGGGAGCCATGCCCTCTCAGCAGAGTCGGGTTTCCTGTAAGGTGATGAGCACAAAAGGACATTTAGAGAGAGATGAACCGTGTAAGGGAGTCTGTCTGCACGGGACAGAAGTTCCACAGATGGGAGGAGAGTGCAGGATGTCCGGCCAGCGGGAGGCTGCCCACAGAGAGATGGAGAGGGTTGATACAGATGGCGAATGATGCCTCCCCCAGGGCAGACCTGAGGCACTGTGTGTGTCATTGGCAAAAGTTCTCCAAAAAAACCAATCCCCCTTCCCATGCACCTAAATAAAGTCAGCTATGTGGCTGTCTGAGTAGACTGAGGAGGTGCACACAAGCTTTGTGTCATGAAACCCTGGGCTCTGCTCCTCAGCCTGTCACCTACTGGCTGTGTGACTCTGCGTATGTCCTCGTGGCGCCTTCACCTGTATCGTGGGGATAATAAGTAAGGCTGTGTTACTTAGCTGTGAGGACCACAGTGATGATGTGTCAAAGTGCTTTTTGAGAATAATCTCAAACTTCTCTGGAGAAGTGGCCAGAACGAAAATGACACAGAGAGCACGCGTGTATATCCTTCGCCTGATTTCA